AATCTGCTTCCTTCTTCCACACCTGTTCTTGGGGCTCCAGGTGCCCCACCCTGACTCCCCTTAGCTCCACCAGTCCTACCGTATTTCCCTGTGACACCTGCCTTTGTTCTGAGTTGCTGTAACAGAATAGCAGAGACTGATCACCTTCTTGTCACCAAAGACACAGTTCTAGAGGCGGAGAATCCAGGATCGGGACTGTGTCTGACGGAGGACTTCCGGCCTTGATGCCCCATGGCCAAAGCGTGGGAGGACAGGTGGCTGGACACATCGTTTCCCCAGGAATTCATTCCTGACAAATCAGTATTAATCATTTCTGAAGGTCCTGCCTCTCAGCCTTGTTGCATCGTGAAATAAATCTCCAACTCTTAAACTTTGGGGGATGCATTTAACCATGGTGAAGTCCAACTCAGATTCCTCCTTTGCAAAATATTCCACACCTGCCTAGTCAAAAGCACTGGCTCCTCCCCTCGCATTCCAATAAAAACATGTTCTTCTATAATAATATCTTAATCTGCCTGTGTACCCGAAGGATTTATTTGTGGCGAGGCTACTGAGGACACCTGGAATCCTGCAGGGGAAGGCGCATCGAAAGCGGGGACTTAGGAAGAGAGAAAATCATGGGTGGTGGCATAAACAGAGCCAAGCATGAGCTAAAAAATGCATACCAAAAAGGGACTAGCACCCGTGCCAGGGATTCCTGCTTCAATTATAAAGCCTTAAATGATATCCTCCCCCCCGGCATTTGTATTTATGGCAAATAAAGAGATGATTTATTTCTGGGATGAATTTTTCATCACTTCTCAGCAGTCATTATACTGCCTGGCAACCCGTGTAGACCGGATTGCCCTTTCTGGAAGAAAATGCAGTTTATCTGGAAGCCACGTTGGCACTCGTAAGCTTCTGGGTGATGTCTGAGTGTGGCTGAGTGGGCCCCTTGGAGGCAGCCAGCTTCATCGGCCTAGGACGGGCCAGAGAGGGATGCCAGGGCTCAGGAAGCCGTGGGCATATAAGTCTTTGGTGCCATTGAGTGGCATCTGCCACCTCTCACCATGGTCCTCCATACCCACCAGCTCCTCCAGACCCCATAAAAATCAAATCTTAAGGATTTGCAACTCGGAAGTCTGAGAACTGGCAACAACTTGCAGCAAGGCCTTTTAAGAGGCATCTGCTGTTTGGTGATGGCGGAAGTCGGCCAGGGATGCCGGAGCCACCAGTGCATCACAGGCTCTCCCAGGATGAGGACCTGGCCCACCTCACCCTTGCTGAACCCCAGTTCCAGCGCAGACACTGGCTCACAGCAGGGCCACATGGCTTCCTTGCTTGGGGGTGTGGGGGGTTCAGACGTCAGCTGCAGGGTGGAGGGACAGACAGTTTGACCAAGGAACCTTGCTCGTGTCATATCCACTTGGGCTTCACCTGCTTTTCCTCAATAATAGCCACCCCCACGTACTATACTGCCAGGATGTTGAGGGAGTACAGTTAGGTTAATTTTTCCAGGAAGATTCAGTGCAGCCTTGGGGTGTGTAGGTCACATAGCAGGCAAGACTAAGACCGCGGGATCCTATGGTGAACCCTGCAGACATCAGCAGTGTGCACAGGAAGTCCAGGATTCTGCAGATGCTGACCTCAGGCCACTTAGCAAGAGGAACTGAGGTGAATGTTCCCAGAGACATCATGAATCCTGTCCTTGAGAGGGAAGCCACTGCCCAAGCTTCCGTGTTGTTCTCTCTCCACATTTGTCACCAGGGTCTTGCATTGGCACAAGGACCTGTGCAAGGCGGCCCTTTCCTACTTCCGCCTTATCTTCTACAGGGTCCGTGTCCACCCGGCATCCGGAGATACCTGCGTTATTGGTGCCCACATGCCCAACATAATGGCTCGCCCTTTCCCAGCCAAGATCAGGACACAGAGAGCCTATCCGGGAACCTCCTCCAGCACAGAGAGGCCCTGCTTCGCTGAGCCTCTGCCCCTGTCAGCAGCGTAGCCCACTGGCCCATCCTTTATTTATTTATTTTGTTTGTTTGTTTGTTTTTCTGGTACTGGGAATAGAACTCACTACCTTGCACTTGCCAGGCAGGCGCTGTGCCGCTGAGCTAAATCCCCAGCCCCTGGCCCATCCTTTAATGCTTGCTATTTTTAATTTCATTTTCCTTCAGAGTCTCCCCCAGGCTGGTGAGTTTCCCTGAGGACATGGATGGGTCTTGCTGGCTCTGTGTCTCTTGGACTTCTTGTGAACTTAATAAATATTTATTGACCAACTTATTATATATTTTGGCCCTTTTTTAACAGGAACTAGGCCTGTTTATTTGCTTGGCCCAATGCCAGCCTGCTGTGAGGGCTGGTTTGGCTCTGGTATTACGCTCCTTGTTGGGAAAGAGAGTGACTGGAGGTGAGGAGAGAAGTCACTTCTGCTTTGTGCCGGAAATGCTTCTGTTCATGTTTTTGGTATTAAGATTTATTTATTTATTTATTTATTTATTTATTTATTTATTTTTGGTTTTTCTCCGGTACCGGGAACCGAACTCACGACCTTGCGCTTGCCAGGCAGGCACTTTGCCGCTGAGCTAAATCCCCAGCCCCAAGATTTATTTTAATTTCAATCACTCTGGAGCCGGGCGTGGTGGCACACACCTGTAATCCCAGCACTCAGGAGCCTGAGGCAGGAAGATCACTGCAAGTTCAAGGCCAGCCTGGGCTACACAGTGAGCTCAAGGTCAGCCTGAACCGCATAGGGAGACCCTGTCTCAAAAAAGAAAAAAAAAAAAAAGTCACTCTGTGGTATGAATAATGGTTAAAGGGGACAAGACAACCTTTATGGGGTAAGATATTTCCACCCTTTCCCCCAGCACCCCTGTCTCCAGCCCTGCCAAAGGGGCATCACAGCTTGCTCTGTTTTGCAAATGTGTTTAAGGAAATCATGCACAATTGAGGCCCGTAGATTATGAAGTTTATGTGGGCTGTAGTGAGGGCACATTTTTAACTGCTTGGAGTCATTTGCGATATTATTTCAGCTGCGAGTGGGTTAGTTTTAGTTAGTTGTGAGACTCCCTTCATCCCCCTCCCTGTCCATGGAAAATCCTTCACCGTACTTTAGCCTCTTGTTTTCCGCTGGCGAGGGGACCAGCACACCGTGTTTATCCTGGGGCCCAAAGGACAGGAGGGCCACATCCCTCCATCCCTAATGAAAATGTCTTTTACTTGAAATGTCTTTTCCACTTATTCTGCTTTGAATAATAGAGGTTTCCTTTTTTTTAATTGTTATTTTTCTAAATATTAACTTTTCAAAGGAAGGATATTTTGAGTTCAAAAATGCCTTTTTCAACTCTTATGTGGTTCTCTTGGTCTGGCATTCACCAACAAGAATTTTTAAAGAATGTCCCATGGGTTTAGTGGCTGAAAGACCGGTCCAAGTCTACATGACTGGTGTGCAATATGGAGGTGAATCTCTCCATGAAATCTTTGCCTTCTGTTAGGGCCTGGGACCCGGAGAGGCCATCGGGGCTGACCCCTGTCTCCAGGAGAGCTGGGAGTTGGGCCTGCATGGGGTAGAATTCACTGGAGAAAGCACCCCAGACCCATCCAACACCCCAAGACCTCAGCACCAGCCAGCACCCCAGATCTTAGCACTGCCAGCTCTGGTTTGGGCCTTGCAGATGCTCAGACTGGAAGCCTGGAGCTGCCTAGAGCAGGCAGCCACACAGAAGCCCTCCGAACTGGCCCTGGGCACCTGGGGTTCTTGGTTCAGTGGCCCAAATTTGCCCTGGACAAATTTCTGCGGTTCCTCTGGCGCTGCACTTCTTTGGGACTCACACCAAGTAAAGCTTGAGACCCGGAAGAGCTAAAATCCAAAGCGAGCCAGTCACTTTGACAGATCCTTGTTTCCATTCCTCAGTCATTGTAGGTGTGTTTCTGAGTCCCTTGCACCTCCTTATTGCGGAGTGTGACCCTGGTCTGGTTTCTGGTTGGCAGTTTCTGCTGAAACTGAAATGTCCAGGTTTCTAACCAGGTCTACTGTCAGGTGAGGTAGGCAGTTCTCTGTCCTGTATTTTGTGGGTCATTTACCAGTCACCGTCCAGGGCGGCAAATTCCAGCACCTATCTTGTCATTAGGATAAGAATGCGCTCTCAGGTCCTCAATCTCCTGTGTGTCTGGGGGGAATATGGCCAACCTCAAACTGATGGAGGCAGTACCACCTCCACCTGGGGACTTCTGAATCCAAGGATTCTAAGCTGTGTTCTGGAGGGCAGGCATCTGCCTTCCGTCCTGAATCCCCAGTACCCAAGCACAGTTGGTGCCAGAATCACGGTGTGACATCAGTAAACGTTTGTTTAGTGAATCAATGAAGTCTATGAACAGGCTTCAAGAGGGCCTTTGAACCTGATGAAATGGTTTGCAAAATGCACACGTGTGTTGTGTGTGTGAAACACATGCGTGTGCTGGGGCAAGGGCCTAAAGCATCTGTCAGTCTTCTCCAAGGGAACTGTGACCTAAAGGGACGCTCAGGAGCTGGTCCAGCCCTGTCCTCTACTTGCCTGATGTTTGTGTCACTACAGATGCTGCTGCGTAGTATTTTTGAGGTGGGTTCAGACCTGCCTCTCTGCCAATATCCCATATCCCCACAGAAGCGAGTGTCTTGAAAACCCCAGCGGAGGCTGTGTCCAACGAAAGAGCACAGCGCCAATACATGGGCCCTTGAACAAGAAATGGCCAGAGTCCTGAGCCCCTTGGTCTCTCTTTATCAGGACAGTGGAGTAAAAATAGGGCAGCAGCTGGATGTGCCCCTCCCATGACTCAGAAGCATTTCCTGGGTGTCTTTTCCAGGAAAAGTTAAAGACCTCAGGGAGGCTGCTCACTTCCAGAAGCCTGAGCTCACACAGCAGCTGGGCAGAATCTAGCTGAGTACAGTGAGTGAGCAACCACCCCTGGCTTCCTCCCGGTGAGCTCACTGCTCAGGTGGCTGCTATCAGGAGAGATGATCAACACCTCAGGGCGGGGAGAAGAGCTGGGCCCGAGGGTAGCTGAGTTGAGACCCAGTTCAGATCTATCTGCATTCTGTGCAAAGGTTCTCGCTCGTCTTGCGGCCCCAGGAAGTCTACCTCAGTCCTGCGCGGTGACCCTTCGCATGAGGTCCAAGATGGGAGAGCGAGGAGGGTGTTAATATTATGAAGGCTCATTGCTGCTGCTTTCCTGACATCCTCCTGCCTGTCCTGAGACGTTCCTGTCCTAACAAGAGAGGTTATGCGGCAATTGGCAAGGAGGGGAACAAAATCAGGGCTGGGCAGCCCTAGAGCTAATCTCTGGAGCAGCTGAAACATTTGCCAAGAATCCATGATGTCATGTGCCCCAGAGGGATCAAGCTATTTGAAGAAGATTCAAGCACATGGACTAGCTCAGTCATGAGCCCAGATAACCCCCCTGGGGGAAGAAGATGGAATCTCAAGGAATCCCTGGCTGTCCAAGCAGCCTTCTCAGACTTCAGTAAACCTTAGCATCTCACCTGGAGAGCTTGTTGAATCAGATTCCCAGGGGATGCTGACGCCACAGGTCTTGGGGCCACATGTTGCGAACTGCTGATCTCAGGCAAGGGGTCTTGCTCTGTGCTCCACTGCGCCCCACTATGGGAAGTAGGGAGGATGAAAAATGAAAATGAACGGGAATCAGCCTTCTGTACATCCGGGACACTTCCTCGTCTATGTATTTTACAAATCTGACTTGCACAATTAAATAAAGGCTCTCTAATAAAAAGAAGGGGAGGGGACCACTGGCCTGGAGAGATGGGTCAAGTCCTGCACATGGGGTGCTCTGGAGAAATGAGTCTCCTCATCCTTTAATACAGAGTATCTGGGCCAGGGGGCACACTCAGCCAATGAGCTGCAAATATTCCAGGCACACAAACCCCAAATAGCAAGTGAAGTGAGCGAAGGCAACGGCCCATGTCAGCGCGGTGGAGTCGCCATTCTCTCGGACAGCTTTGGCCTCCACACAGACCTTGTGCTGAGCCTCTGCGGCCACAGGGGCATCTCTGTCGCTCAGCTTCCACAGGGGCCAGGTAGGAACCTTGTCCCAGAGATTTCTCACCTCTGTCTGGATGTGTCCTGCATCTCTCTGGCCCCCAGATCCCTGGGGAGTAGCCTCAGCACAGCCATCTTCTCCAAAAACCAACCTGAGGATAACTCTGTATCCTCCTGCAGCTTGGGGCCAGCAGTGTGGTCCGGAGTAGAGCCTGGCCTCTGGTGCCAAGGTTTCAGGGTTGAGCTATTGAGTCTTCAGCACGGGCGAGCTGAGATCTGGGGCGAGTCCGCCTCTCCAAAGCCCAGTTTCCTCATCTGCATATGGGAATACTACTGGTATCGTGGAGGGGAATGAAAGGCAGTTACCAGTGTAAAGCTGGAAATGGTGGCCCATTGTTACCAAGTCTTTCAGCATCCTTTCTGTGGTTTGAACAAAGCAGGAATGTGCTGCTCATATTCATTTCTGGAGCTGCTGTGACAAATGCCCACAAGCTTGGTGGCTTAAAACAGCTGGAATTTATTGTCTCATAGTTCTGGAACCCAGCAGTCTGAAATCAAGGCATGGACAGGGCCATGTGCCTCTGAGAACTCTGAGCGGGTCTGTTCTGGCCTCTTGTGTCGCCTGTTGTGTTGCTGGCAATCGCTGGCATTCCTTGGCTAGTAGCCCCATCACTCTGATCTCTGCCTCCGTCATCACGTTTTTCTGTGTCTGTGTCCTTGTCTTCTTAGGACACCAGGCATGTTGGATCAGGGCCCACCCTCATTTCTATGATTTCATTTTAACTTGATGACATCTACAAAGACCCTAATTTCCAAAGAAAGTCTCATTCACAGGTACAGGGAGTTAGGGCTTCAGTACAACCCTAGGGGGACACAGTTCAACCCCTGCACCGCTCGACTGGAATGAGGACCCTGGCTGTAAAGTCCCCAGACCCGAACTAATTGTCCTCAATGGTTTTGTCTTCCAGGGTGTTCAGACCTACATCTCTTGGACATGTTGACCCCGACCGAAAGAAAACGACAAGGATATATCCATGAACTCATTGTCACAGAGGAGAACTACGTGAATGACCTGCAGCTGGTGACAGAGGTAATGGCAGCTGTGAGTGGCCAGGGGTGGGGACTGCAGGGAAAGGCAGGGGCCTTGCCGTTGAGGACTGTGTCCGGGACACTCTGATGCGGGGGGAGTGTATGGCCGCCACGTGACAGAGAAGTCTCTGAGAAGAGATGGTCACATCCCTATGCTCAGCTCTGTCACACCCTCACAGGGGCAGAGCTCTGCTGTGCCAATGGGCACATGAGTCCCAGAGGAGCTGATGGAAGGGGATGCGTGGGCAGTAAAGTGGGAGTTCTGCCTCTATGCAGAGTTGCAGCCCAACCACCAACTAGCTGGTTCCATAGAGCTGGTCGCATCCCATCCCTGGCCCTCGGTGTTGGCATCTGGAAATGGTGACCACCTTGCTGATGTCTCCAGGTATTCCCAGTAGAAGATCTGTCCCTGAGCATGAAGGTGTTTCCTCCATGAGCCCCGCTGGCCTGGGATGATGCCTCATCTGGTCTGTCCCCCGACATAGCCATTGCAGGGCCTTATCTACCCTGTCCAGAGGGATGGGGCAATGCAGAGCTGGGCTGTTGAAAAAGCGAGCTTTTGGCCTAACACCGGGGGAGTCATGTTAGGAAACAAATTTGCAGAGCTGAGCCTGAGGGTCAATCTACAACGTGAAAAGTCCTCTAGTGGTGTGGAAACCGCCTCCTTCCCACCAAAGTTGTGAGACCATCTTGTAGGAAAGTCCTAACACCCATAAGAGACACGGCTGGGCTACCCAGTGTCGGAAGAGTGCGGGTTGGGTTACTGGTCTACAAGCCACCATTGACACATGGGAAGTGGTGAGACTTCAAAAAGGGTGGCTGGAGATGTGGGACCGCTATTAAATAGTGTAGGCTGACTAGGACGTGTCACCCCTTTAGATATGAAACACGGTACCCCTGGGATATGCCTGATTCCACACCAGTGTGAGGACTCGTGGAATAGGACTTCCAGGGATCATGTTTATTTCAAAGATGGGCTGTTGTCCCTGCCCCTAAAGAACCTTCCGTAGAGCCCCTGCACCCTTGGGACTGTAGATAAGGAACACCTTGCTAGCAGGGAGCTCAACTCCATGGGATCCCAGTGAGATCTGATGTTTATTGCAAGTTGCCCAACCACACAGAAGCAGGGCTTCGCCTTCCCCCTCTGACTGATCTCCCCACTGTAAGTGCTGGCTGCGTCCACAAGCCCAGGAGGCTGAGGCAAAGCAATGGAGCCATTCCCAAGAGCCCTTGCATAGCTGCTTGTCAGAGGCAGCAGATGCGGCAGGCTCATCCCTACGTGTCACCTTTCCCCTTGAGCCTGTTTCCTCCCCGTGGGAGGTGACAGCGCAGTTGGCCTGTATGACACTGTACTGGCTCCCAGCTTCTTACTGGTGGAGCTAGGATCCATTCTCCAGAGACTCACCTGGCTTCCCTCCCCTGGAAAATAACACAGCCCTGGCAGGGACCCTTCCACCTACACAGTCCCCAGTGGGAAGGTGGGCGTCCAGCCAAGCTGCAGCCCCAAGTCCTTTCCCTTGCTCTAAACAGACCGACGCGTGCACATGTGGATTTTGAGCTAACTGTTTGCTTTCTGAACTGCTCCGTTTTCTGCACTGTAGATCTTTCAGAAACCCCTGATGGAGTCTGAGCTGCTGACAGAGAAAGAGGTTGCTATGATTTTTGTTAACTGGAAGGAGCTGATTATGTGTAATATCAAACTACTGAAGTAAGCCTTTCTTCTCTAATCCCCACCTCGCTGCTCCTGGCTTTCACACCGGCACCTCTGTGTGGTCCGTCCGTGTGTTCCTCTGCATGCTGCCATGTCTCTCTGCTTGTTTTGCACATTGCCACTCACAAATGTCATCGCCTGCTTGTGCCTTCATGCTTTCCAGAAATTCACTCCCAGTTCCCAATTGAGGGGAGCAAATTGCCAAAACATCCCAGAGCCTGCTTTGACTGTTGTCCCAGAATTTAGAGCGGGGGCAGTTCTGGCTGCTGATCCACGGCGCAGTCTGTCTGGCGTAGTGGAACAGCCCAGCCTCAAAGCCTACCCCCGAACTCAAGTTCTTTGGGGAACATGGGTCTCTGGAGACAGATGGAAAGGTGGGAAACTTTCCTGTCTTGGGAGGGCTCCCAGCAGCCCACCTGCAGCCATTGGTGTGTCATTCCTCCTTTAGTTTGCAGGCACAGCTGCAGGGCCAGGAGTCGAGACCTGGGTTTGGATCCCACCGCATTGCTTTTCCTCTTTGAGCCTCAGTTTCCCAATCTGTAAAATGAGAGGGTCAGATGCGATCATCATAAGGACCATTTCTCAGGCTAAAAAGAAAAACTGAGACCCCAAATCTTCACCAGCCTTACTATCAGGTCACTTGCTAGAACTCACATTAATCCTGGCCTCTAGGGCATGCGATAGATACACCAGCTAGGAGCAAGGCCCTCTCCTCTGCCCGAGAGTGACGTGCAGCCACCCCAAAGATTGTGTCTGGCCCTGATCCCTCAGGGCCATTGGGAAGCCACCATTTCCTACGTGTGAGCCCTGTGCTTTGTTCTTTGTTTCTTTTTTCGGGAGGGGAGCGCTGGAGATTGAACCCAGGGCTTTGCACACTTAAGGCAAGTGCTCCACCACTGAGTGTCCTACATTCTTTCTGTACAATAATTTCATGTCCCTATTATCTTGGGTGTGTGTTTTGCAATAAAGGGAGGGAAGGGGAGACAGGCACAAACAAACAGGAAGGAAGATGTAAAATTCTGCTTGCTTGTCCTTTAGATGACAATCACAGATGACCCCAGGCAGGCGCATAGAGAAAGCCTTTCTTTCCATTTTCCTCCTGTGCAGGGCACTGTAGAAGCATTCTAAACATAGTGTGGGTGTCAGACTCTTGGGCTCACACGTTGCTGTTGCCTCTGGCTGTATGTCTTTGGGCAGATCACTTACAGTTCCCAGGCCTCAATATCTTCATCTGTAAAATGGGTATTTTATTAGTGCTTTTCCTGTTATTGTAACAGCAACAATAAAATGAGTCTAGGTACTTTCTAAAGAAAAGAGGTTCATTTAGCTCACAGTTTTAGAGGCTGAAAATCCCAAGATTGAGCAGCCCCAGCTGTTCAGCCTCTGCTGAGGGCCTCACAGTGGATGGCATCCTGACAGCTGGAGAAAGTGTGAGAAGAGCACACACGAGACAGGAAGCTGGGGAGATTCAGGCTTGCTCTTACCTCTCCTTCTCCAGGGAACTAAGCAACAGCCTGTGAGTGTTATGCTAATTCCTGCTGATGACCTCATTTCCTGTGCTAGTTCCCACCACTTCAATACTACCACACTGGGGTCCAAGCTTCTAGCACCTGGACCGCTGGGGACACACTAGCACAGACCCCGCCACAGCGGGGATGACACAGTACGGCACCTCTGATCCCGTGTCACGTTGGCCCTCAGACAGGGAGTTCCTGGCCCGTACTAACGGCTGGCCTTGGGCCTGTGGTCCCCGGTGGTAGAAGCAGAACACTCACTCTTGCCTTGGAGAGAGGCTGTCCTGTCACCTGGGCAGAAGGGGTTAGTTAACCCTGAGCCTGCAACTACTATCTTAATCACTTTTTTGTTGAGACCCAATACCTGACACCCACAATTTAAAAGAGTGGTTTCTTTTGGCTCGCAGTGTGTAGAGGGTTCAGTCCACGGTCAGCTCGTTCCAAGGAAGGGCGGCGCTACGGAAGGGCCTGGTGCAGAAGACCTGCTCACTTACCGCGGACAGGAAGCAGAGAGCAAGGGCGGAGTGGGGAGGGAGATAAACCTTCCAGGCCACACCCCCAGCCCCGCCTCTTCCGCCAGCCTGCCTCCTAACAGCGAGCCAGCGGTAAATCCCATAATCCACCACATTCCCAAAGCCCTGCCTATGAGCGCATGAGGCTCTTGGGTGACATCTAGGTATAAAGTAGAACAACTGCTAAGCCTACAGTGTTGAAGACACATGGCTTTTAAAAAGATGCAAAAGTTTTCTATTGAAAACATATTTTTTTTTGTTTTTTTGTTTGTTTTTGAGTACCGGGAATCGAACTCACGACCTTGTGCTTGCCAGGCAGGCACTGTGCCACTGAGTTAAATCCCCAGCCCCTAAAAACATCTTTCTTAAGTGGAGATGATGTTCCCAAGTGCCCTGTAGGAGGGCCGCATGCCCCTCCCCAACAGTCGGGTTGGCTGTGAGCTCCTGGCCCCTTTCCATCACCGCCCTGCTCTTAACCCTCTTTCCTGCTCCTATGCAGAGACAGAGCGCCCCTCTCCTGAGCTCCGTGGGGCCAGGCAGTGTGCTTTCTCCTGCTATAGCTGGCCTCCCCTATTCTGATGGAGGAACTGGGAGTGCTGCAACAGCTGGGGAATCCAAGCTCAGAGAGACTGAGTGACTTGCTGTAGGTGGCTGCTCTGTGCCTGACATCCAGCGTCCCAGAACAGGGGATTCCACTCATGTATGCCATGAATGGAAAAACACAGAGCCAGGAGGTAGACACCCCACATATTTGTTCGGGCTGCAGCACCTTCTAACGTTTTGAGGGCTGCTACCTTAGGCAGGGACCTCCCGCCCTTTGTTGTAGCACCCGTGTAGGATTGCAGTCCTGGTACTTGTCCTGGCTGCCGCAAGGTTGTTCCAAGCAAGGAGCAGGGGGTCTGGGGCCCCCTGGCATGCTGTTCCTCCTGGTGTAAACCTGCCCCAGTGTTCCCAGCCCTTCTCTCTGGCTGTTCTTCTGTTTACCTGATTAGCAAATCTCAGCAAATTGGCTGATGTTTTCAGCTTCCAGATAAAATACTTGTGTTTACCAGGTGCCTTCTCAATACATTGTTTCTTTTTCTCCTTTCCAACATTTTGTTATGAACATTTCAAAATTACAGAGAGCTTGAAAACATAGTAGAGTGGGCACGCACTTTGTAAATAGTGCCTTTCGCTCTACGGGCTTGGCCGCGTAGACATCATTTCTTCCTGCAGAGGAGCATGGCTAGCGAGGGGGAGGTTGGCGGCTCCTGGCAGGCTGGCGGGGAGGCACGGGGACAAAGGGAACTTAGGGCAGCATTCCCTACATTGCCACTGGCATGCCACCTCCTCTCCGACATTCCCAGTCCCAGGGTTAGGGGACACCCTTGTATTTAGGGGAGCCATAGGGTTTATCAAGCAAGTAAATCATGAATCTTCTTTGTTTGTTTGTTTGTTTGTTTTCCGGTACCGGGAATCGAACTCACGACGTTGTGCTTGCCAGGCAGGCGCTGTGCTGCTGAGCTAAATCCCCAGCCCCAAATCATGAATCTTAAAAGGAAAAGAAAAAGAGACGACTGTGACATAAGGTCTTCCTACTAATGATGCCTCTGCTTGGAGGTTAGAGCAAATGGCTGGTGGCCTCTCTGCTGAGCCAAGAACTGTGCATTTAGTCAGCAGAACAGGGCAGAAAGTTCTAGAGCCTTTTTATAGCCAGGGCTCAGATGCCGGCTCCTGGGGGCCGCAGTCAGGAGTGAGAACAGAAGGAAAGAGGAATAAAGTCAGGCAGCCACGCCAGGTATTGGAGCGCAAGATTCTTTCCTGCCCTCTTCCCTCTTTCCTGCTAGGAGAGATAGAGAGATAGATAGAGATAGAGATAGAGATAGAGACAGAGAGAGAGAGAGAGAGAGAGAGAGAGAGAGAGAGAGAGAGATAGATAGACAAACTGGAAGAGTTTTTCCAAGACATGTTTTTCTTTAATACAAACTATTTGACTTACCTTCTTTTTCACATGAGAAGAGTGGACAGCATTTTATTTTGTTTAATTGGAAGACAAAAGAAAAACAAAATATAAAAATATAACCTAGTGGTTAAGTCCAGATGGGAAGAAAGAAGGAGCTGTGGGCTGGGAATGGGTAGAGGAAGAGAAAAGGGAGGAGACAGAGGGAAGGGCGCAAGGAGCCAGGAGCAGAGGCAGAGGGTGCAGAGCCCAGAGGGACTTGGAGGGAGACACAGGGAGAAGCTGCATCTGGGGAGATGGATGGGTGCTGGAGGTGGGGTGGGGTCAGGGCCACTGCGCCTGGCCCAACTGCAGGCTCTGGAGTCAGACCTGGGTTCAAGAGCTGCCTCTGCCACCTATGAGTTGTGTGACTTTGGTCATCACTCACTGTGTGCTCAATAATAAGCAGTTGTGTCAGTCACTTTTCTGCTATGGTAACAAATGCCTGAGGTAATCAGCGTAGCAAGAGGAAGGGTTTGTTTGGCCGAGTTTTGGAAGATTCGGTCATGGTCTGTTGGTCCCATTGCGTCTGTCATCGAGATGATGCAGCACATCACAGCGGGAGCTTATGGAGAGGAGGCTGCTTGCCTCACGGCAGCCGGGAAGCAAAGAGAGGGACAGGAAGTGGGTAGGGTCCCAGTGTTGGCTCCGTGGGCATGCCTCAAAGACCTAACTTCCTCCAAAGAGGCCCCACTTCTTAAGGGTTCCACCTCCTCCCAGGAGTATCAGGGGCCGTGTGGGGACCAAGCCTTCACCAGGTGGGGCTTTGGGGACATTTCAGATCCAAGCTATAGCAGTAATATACGTGTGTGTGTGTGTGTGTGTGTGTGTGTGTGTGTGTGTGTGTGGGTACTGGGCATTGCATCCTCAGTACTGGGCTTCACACTGAGCTATATTACCAGCCATTTAAAAGTTTTTAAAATTTTGAGACCGGGTCTCACTAAGTCACTAAGTTGCCCACACTGGGCAACACTGGGCTCGAACTTGTGATCCTCCTGCTTCAGCTTCCGTTTTTACAAATGTTCACCCTATAGGAAGCATTAGTGCCTATGACTGTCCACTTAGTCTGCAGACTTCAGTCCAGACTTCAGACCAGCTGGGAGTACTGGTTCATTCAGCAAACACTGATGCTCTGTGAGGTGTTCCTAGCTGACCCCTTAGCCTTCCCAGTTCAAGGGTTCTCCTCTGTCTATGGGATGGCAAATTAGCTCACCTGAGGGCTGAGTAGTCTTAGGGCTATGGTTTCAACAATTAAGTCACATGAACCCTGGCTCCCTGGACGACCCTCCGCTGCTCCCAAGACTTGTCTATGCTGTAGAATATTCCAGAAAGAGACCCACAACTGAACCTGATAGGTGCCGGGTCCACTGGGCCTTAATTTTAGGCCTCCGTCCTCGTTAGTAAATTTGAGATTACAGGTGTGGGCCTCCAGAAGGCAGGCAGTGGTCTAACATCCTCAAGGTATGACTGTGTGCATGTGATCTTTCTTCTTTTCTCTTTTTCTTGTTTGTCTCATCAAAAGGAGCATGAGGATGAAAGTACTTTTATTCCCTTGCAGAAAAACTGTTCCTCATAGGAAAATAATAGAATTTCTTCCTGTTTCTATCCATGGCAAGTTTGTAACATGGTTATTCCAGAAATTATTCCCCAAAATTATTAGTGCAGGGATATTTCACACCATTACCTCTAGGGGACGGTGGTAGCCTTCGGGATGCCCAAGCTGCCATTTCTCACAGCCCAGGTGGCCAGGGCTTACCTTCCCCACGAGGGCATCTGCTGAAGGTGGAGTTGCTGGTC